CAGGGACCACGGTTCAATCCCCAGCACCACATGCCAGCCAGCCCCGCCCCCTGGTGGGCTGAGCTGGCCACACACACACACACACACACACACAAATTAAAAAAAAAAAAAACAGAGGTAGGGCTAGTTGAAGAGAGTGTGCTTAGGAACATGGCTCCAGGGACTGTGTCCTGTCTCCAGCCACTCTTGCCTAGCTTTTGCCCTCTCTGCTTCCAGGAGGTCGTGAAGTGGGCAGCTTGCTTCTGTGGGCCCTCCCCACTGACAGGACAGAGCCGCTTGACAACGGACTCGGCTTTGGAACTGGCAGCCGCAATGACCTCCTCCTCTGTGAAGCAGTTCTCAGGCAGTTTCTCACAAAGCTTACTAGTGCACCCACCTGTGGCCTCCCAGGGGCCCCCAAGGAGGGAAGCGAAGTGGGAAAAGGGTGAGCAGGTCCAGCTGCTAGGCCTGAACTCAGCTGGGGCGGTAGGGAGGGATGGGAGGCCCAAAAGCAGGGCAAGAAAAGGTCCCTGGCTCTACTGAAATGCTCAAATGTCACCTCCTATGGGGAAGCATGTTCTGCCAGGAAGCCCAGCTAACACCCCCTGCTCCCAACTTCTTTGTCATTGTTTCCCAAGAATTTCTTATCTCCCCCTCCCCCTCCCTCATACCCTAGGGATGGAGGCCAGAGGCACTGTGAGGCTTGTTTTGTTTTAATCTGGAGACAGTCTTTCTAAATTGTCCGAGGTGGCCTCTAACTTGAGATCCTCCTGCCCTAGCCCTCAGAATAGATGGATTACAGGTGTGTGTCCTGCCCTAGCCCTCAGAATAGATGGGGTTACAGGTGTGTGCTCCATAGCCCGTTTGACTGAACTCAGGCCCTTGCCAGGGAAGCGTTTATTCCACTGAGCTATCTCCCAGCCCCTAAACTTTTATTTCTAAATTCCACTATTAGAGTGTAAGGTCCCAAAAGGAAAGAACAAGGAGGTCATCTAGGTCGACTCTGTGTGGGCGTGGCCAGGCAGGCCCCAGGAACCTGACCTCGTGGGAGGGGCTGTGGGCGGGGCCTCCCGGGAGGGCGGGGCCTCGCGCTGGGGTGGGCGGGGCACTCACTCAGGCGCAGCATGCCCTCTCCGTGTGGCTTGTCCTTCCACCATTGGCCCTCGTAGATGTCACCGCTGCTGTAGTACATGCGGCCCCACCCGTTGCGCTGACTGCTACACCACTCACCCTCATAATACTCCTTAGGTCTGAAAAACTGGATCCCATAGCCCTAAAAGCAGGAAGGTGCCCGGTTCGCAGCGTCCCCACCTTGCTAGGAACCCAGGCCACACACCTGAGCCTTCCGCCCTCCGCCCTCTGCAGCCAGCGTCCAGCAGCCCCATTGCATTTCCTCCATCCCTTCCCCTCCCCTCCTCCAGGGCATGCACCCTCCGTACTGACAGACCTGTGCACGTGTGTGCCCGCGTGCATTGCACCTGGGCCCTGGACTACGCTAGGCATTTCTATTCTCATTTTGACATGAGTCCCTAAGTTGCTTAGGCTGGTCTCCAATTTGCCATCCTCCTGCTTCAGCCTCCTGAGTTTGCTGATGTTCACCGCCCTGTTTGGCTCAGAAAATCTTTAACCACTCGTTTGCTCACACGATCCCCAAACCCCGCGATAAGGCACTGCCTTCAGGTCACCCAGGAGGCTGGGTGAAGCAGCTGCGTCTACTCAGTCCCTGCGCCCACTGCCCACGCTGGGCCTGAACTATCGCTCCTCCTGACTCAGCCTCCCAGAGCGCTAGAGTCAGGCATTCACCACCACGCCTGGTGATGCCTCCTGTCTTTGAGTTTTACTCCTTCGTCGGTAAAGGGAGATGATAAATTATTCTGAGAGTTCATTCAGATGCCACGTTCACATCGTAGCTGCGCAACGCCAATACTATAGTCATTATTTCTGAGACAGAGCCTCTATAGGTAGCCCAGGCTGGCCTCATGGAGTCATGCAACCCTCCTGCCTCCGCCTCCCAAGTACCTGGGACTACAGGTGTGAGTCACCACTTCTCACTTGTGACATTGCCCTTCCCCGTCTCCTCAACCCATGGTGAGGATCTATCCAGCTAAAAAAAAATGTGTCCCCCGCTTGGCGTCCTGGCCGCCCATCTGCTCCTGGCTGGTCTACCCGCTTCTTCCTTTCTGGTCCTGATGCCAAGGGCGTGGTCCTGGTTTCTTGCTTTTCCTTCCTATTCTTCCCTTTGACCCAAGCCTGGCAGAAGGGGCATTCGCAGAAAGGGACACCCAGGGGAAAGGAAGCCAGAAAACAAGGGAAAGAGGGTGGAGGAGGCCTCACTCCACATCTCGCTTCTCAGGAGCCCACTGCTCTTGCTTCCTGTTTCCCGGGTTTTATTCTGAGACGTCTTGCCCCTCCTCCATCCCTTCCTTCTCCCACCCATCTAGCCACCAGTCCTTGCCCTAGAGGACTCTCCCTTTCTTCTCAGGCTTTTTTTTTTTTTTTTTTTTTGTGGTACCAGAGATTAAAGTCAGGACCCTTATTCCACTGAGCTATCTCCCCAGCCCTCTACTAAATTTTTTAAATTTTGATTTGAAGCAGGGTCTTCCTAAATTGCCCAGGCTACTAGACTCAAGCTTGCAATCCTCCTGCCTCAGCCTCCCAGCATGCTGAGAATCCAGACATGATAGGGTACCACACACCAGCTTCTCAGGCCCCTCTAACTGCTCCTACACACACACACACACACACACACATACACACACACACACACACACCAGCCTGGCTGTCAGTTCTGCCCAGGTCCCAGGGCATACTGGGAACACTCACCGATTTCTTGTCATCTTTCCACCAGCCTGAGTACACTTTTCTGTATTTTCCCTTCTCTTGGTCAGGAAGGCTGAGGGTGCCATAGCCATCTCGCTTCCCAAACTTCCAGTCCCCTTCATAGATGGCTCCTTTCTTCTTCCAGACCTGAGTCCCCTTTCCTGGTGACACAGGTGGCAGGCACCTCAGACATGACCACCTGGGGCTGGTGGAGGTGACACAGGTGGCAGGCACCGCAGACGTGACCACCTGGGGCTGGTGGCTGCATGCCTGCCCAGGCCTCAGGGACCAGCGCAGGATGATTCTTGTGGGCTGAGTCAGGGGGCGTACTTCCTTCCGCTCCAGACTCAGCACCCAGAAGAACCCCAGACAGCACCCCTTCTCCAAGGAGCAGCTCTCCAGCCCTTGCCCTGAAGCTAGGCTGAAAGAACAAAGCCCAAGTAGAAATGCTGGCCCCCAGCATTTCAGCTTTGCAGGTTTTTTGAGACAAGATCTCCTGTGTATCTCAGGCTGGCCTTGAACTCATTATAGTCAGGCTGTCTTCAAATTCATACTGGGATCCTTCTGTCTCAGCCTCCTGAGTACTGGGATGACAGGTATGTGTCACCATGCCTGACTTTACCTCTGAACTTCACCTAGATACCACAAGTGGCCAAGCTTCCCAGGACATGCTCTGGATCTTTTCCTGAGTTCTAGATAGATCTGGAGACCCACGTTCTACTAACCTGGGTCCACCCCTCCCCGGACTCCTTCCCAACTGCAATCCAACCAGTCTGGCTTTCATACCAGCCAAGCTCCTACCTCGGGGCCTTTGCACCTGCTGGTCCTCTGGCCCAGAACCTTCATTTCCACAGTGTCACTCTCCCCCTGAAAGCCTTGCTTCATGGCCCACTTTCTCCATCCCCCACCCCTTACCCCAGCGTCTCTTTTCATGAGCAGTAGGGGCTCCTAACACAATGGCTATTTCCCTTATCCCGACACTATTCATTGTCCATATATCCCAGAGGGATGTGCGCAGAGGAATAGGTAAAATACTTTATCTTTCTTTCTTTTTTTGGGGGGGGGTACTGGGGATCGAGCTCCGCACCACGGCTTTGCCAGGCAGACATGTATGCCACTGACCTATCTCCTCAGCCCAGTACTTTTCTTTTTGAGACAGGTCTTGCTGTGTAGCCCAGGCTGGTTTTGAACTCACAGTGAGCCTCCAGCCTCAGCTGCCCGAGTGCTAGGATTACAGGCGCGCGCACTATCACACCTGGCTATGAGTAAAATACTGATGGAATTTGGGGGTGGGTTAATTCACATCTCGATCCTTGATAGGCTGGGACAAAGGTAACAACATTGTCCCTATGGACTTTCTGACTTTGAGCAAAAAATTATTTGGTCCTCAGAGTCTTCCTGTAAAAGGAGGACAAAAATACCTTGTGAGACAATCTCTCTCTCTCTCTCTCTCTCTCTCTCTCTCCCTCCCTCCCTCCCTCTGTGTGTGTGTGTTAGGGAGAACTGAACCCATGACCTCACACATGCTAGCTAAGTACCACAGAGCCCCATCCCCAGCTTATCCTAAGGAGCGAATGCCTTTAATCCCAGAACTCTGGGAGGCTATGGCAGGAAGATCTCAAGTTTAAGTTTAGCCTGGGAAATTAGTAATTAAGCTCAAGGCTACAAACCAAACCAAATCAAAGGACAAGGGAGGGCCAGCGAGATAGCTCAGCAAACTAAAGCACCTGCTTAGGCAAGCGCAGGGACCCTGGTTCAATCCCCAGCACCACATGTCATGCCAGCCCTGACCACAGAGTCCAGGTGCAGTGGTGGCTCATGCCTATAATCTCAGTGCTGGGGAGGCTGAAAACAAGAGGATCAGTGTGTATCCAAGCTGTGTAGTGAGACCCTGTAACAACCAAATACATTAAAAAGAAAAAGAGGGCCAGGGAGATGGCTCACTAGAATAAGTGCTTCCCTGGCAAGCGCAAGGGCCTGAGTTCAATCCCCAGTGCTGCAAAAAAAAAAAAAAAGACACCCCCTAAAACCACGTAAAAATTCCTGACACCGGAGTACAATGCAGCTCGCTGTACGAGTGCTCACGTTGCTCTGTGTACTTCTTTCTGCCTAACAAAAAGAAAAAGAAAAGAAAAAAAGGACAAGGGAGAAAGATTTTTAAATTGTCAAGTTTAAAAGTTATCAAGCTTTTAAAAAGGAGCCCAAGGGGGGAGATACCTCAATGGAGTAAGTGAATAAATGCTTGCCTGGGAAGCGCAAGTCCTGAATTTCATTCCTGGTATCGCAAAAAAAGGGAAAAAAAAGCCTATATGGACCAGGCATGGTGGTGCACACCTGTAAATCTCAGGACTGGGGAGGCTGAGGCAGGAGGAGCGGTATGAGTTCAAGATCAGCCTAGGTTGCAAAGTGAGCTCAAGGCCAGCCTGAGCTGCCTAGCAAGATCCTGTCTCAAAAAGACAAAAAATAAAATCAAAAGCCAATTTTGAGCATGGTGGTGCACACCTGTAAGTCTAGCCACTTGGAGGCCGAGGCAAGAGGATCCCAAGTTCAGGGCCAGACTTGGCAAGTTAGCCAGATCTGGTCTCAAAAATAAAAAGCAAAAAGGGCTGGAAACCTTAGCTCACCACTCCTTGGGTTTCATTCCCAGTACCCAAGAAGAAAAGGAAGATGAGGAAAAGGAAGATGAGGAAAAGGAAGAGGAGGGAAAGGAGAGAAGAGAAACTCTACCACTGTGGCCATACACGTGGCCTAGAAAGTAGTCTGACACATAAAATGAGCCAGACACAGCAAGGTAAGTGCTTCATGATTTCACTTCTGTGTATGATCTTTCTTTTTTTTTTTTTTTTTGCGGAACCAGGGACTGAACTCAGGCCCTTGCGCTTGCCAAGGGAAGTGCTTATTCCACTGAGCCATCTCCCCGGCCCTTGTGTGTGATCTTTCAAAAGCCCTAGAGCTCCTGGAAAGAGAACGGAGGTCGTGCATGCTGAGCACTCGTCTCACGTGTCCTGTGAGGCCCTGTGCTTGACCCTAGCTCCATAAAATAAATGAAGTTAAACAGAGAATACCATTTGACCCAGCAATTCCCTTCTAATTCTCCAAAGAGAACTGAAAACAGATGTTCAAGCAAAATCTTGCACACATCTGGGCGTGGTGACACACATCTATCCTTCCAGCACTCAGGAGGCTGAGGCGGGAGCACTGATTGTTTTATTATTATTATTATTGTTTCAAGTTCAAGACCAGCCTGGATGACAAAGTGAGCTCAAGGCCAGCCTGAACTGCATAGCAAGACCCTGTCTTAAAAAAAAAAAAAAAAAAAAAAAAACCTGAGTGAACTCCATTGAATTGCAAAGCAAATTAAAAACTTGGTCAGGTTTCCAAATAAAAACTTTCCCCACCTTCGGGTGTAAATGGTATCACTAGGGCAGACCTGTGGCCCAGAGGCCTGCTTATTCTCACCAGGTCCTAGGATGGCTTCTGAAGCCACCGCTTCCCACCCGATGCGCCCTGCATGCTGCTTCCACGGCCCCATCCCTGCCCACTGCGCTTCTGTCCCCGTGCTGGCCGGCCGAGCCCCCTGTCCCTACGCACCGTGTCGCAGGTTGTCTTTCCATTCTCCTGCGTAGTGGTCACCGTTCACAGCATACACCTGGTGCCTTAGCCCGTTCTTCTGGGCCTTCTCATCCCAGTCCTTCCACAGGGGCTCTGACCTCTTTGGACACTTGGAGACTGGCATGGTGGCTGCTTGTGTGGGGTTGCAGGGCGCTGGCAGGTGAGGACATCAGGGCCTCAGGGCACCTCGTGGATGCCTAGCTCCTGTCACAACAAAGTCAGGTGGGTCATGTGCATGCGGGTAAGCAGCCTTGGGTAGGGACCTGCTGTGTTGGAATGAGGCTGGGCTGTCCCCTCCCCTGCCTTCCCTGGGGCCCCCTTGGGGGGGGTCTGATGACACAATTGCTCAGGAACCCAGGGAGACCAGAAGGAATCTGGGGCTGTGATGGCACCAGGGAGAAGCTGCCCCTGGAGAGGCACTTATTTAATGACAAGAATGACCAATCTTGGGCCTTAAGTGTAGAGGAGCCCCAGGGGGAGGGGCAAAACGGTGTGGAACACTGGGGTCCATGCAAGGGAACCAGGGGTGCCTGGCAGACACCTGGCTCTGGATGGCCTCCAGGGACTCCCCTACCTCCTTGTCCAGTAGATGAAGGATTTCCTGGGACGTCAGGCTAAAGTGTTAAAACTAAGACAGTCCTAGGTGCACCAGGGCTCTGTGTGACTCTACCCCATAACCTAATGCTTTCCACCAGACCTGGCTGTGTTCCTGTGTTGCTTGATGGAGTTACTGAGGGGTGCTGGGGGGCTCAGGCCCTCCCCGCAGTGTCCGGGAGCCTGTGTTCTTCATGTCCTGCAGACCTCAGTACAAACATTCATGTCTGTCTGTCTGTCTCCCTGGAGCTTCTTTAGGAAGCTAAAACATTCACCATCATGTCCAACTTTTTTTTT